TCAGTTTCACCGGAAAATAGTGGAGGGTCGCCGAGGAGCGGAGACTGATGAATTGTGCGAAAAAGTCCTGGGCTAACTGACTCGCGAAACGAATGGAGTCATGCTGAGCTTTCGTTTGTCATGTCACAGACATCATCAGTACGAGAAAGCATACATTACGAAAAGACGCATCAATGTAATAATCCGAGAAACCGAGTTTCTCCCCATAGAAATCATAGAGTATCGTTTCAGAGCTGTATTCAGCCTATTTCGTTTAAGATGATGGAGAACTGGCAGTTGAATTTTCCCACAATAATGAGAGTAGGTGTTAATTTGTCAGTCAAGTTCCCACAGCCTTGCTTCCCATAAGGTGTTCTAATCCAGAGTGAGCATGCACGCCAACATCATTATGGACAAAATCACCTATCAGTCGTCCATAACCTGAAACCTCTGTGATAGACAAAAGTGTAGTACCAGTTCGTCAGGATCGCAGGGCGATGAGCAGAGGATTTCTTTGTACAATCAAGCAATCCTCCAGGCTCGGCAAACCATCTTCATTTACAGGTGAAACCAACCCACCAATCCCGTTCAACCAACTTGCCATGTCACAATACCACCAGCACTTCACACCGTCACAAGTAGCCCTGGGTCCCAGGACGGGCGTAAATTGCACTTCTCATTCAACACCTCACCTACCTATTATGAATTAAACCAATGCAGTTGGTTGCTATAACAGCCATAACATTATTCAATCGACAACCCCATTACTGAATGTGGCATGGGCGATCTGCTGGCAGCATGGACATTTCTACTTACTCTGAATGGTATAGGAGAATGCGTGTTTGTTGCACTACGAAAAATGTGACATGCTCTCTGGACCACTGGCAACCGTGACAATGCGGCCAAGTGGTACCATGTTGAAGGTATGAGGTCTACCGTGTAGCTATATCGACTAGGCTGAAAGACACATGCATGCTCTACCACTGTGGTTTCATTACACTAACCTAGCTTGCCTGAATGCTGGCCCATAAGATGCACGCCAGTCAC